CAAAAATATGACATGAAGAAAAGTGCTGAATGTAGGAGATGAGGTAGGTTGTAATTTGAGCCCCAATCAACTTGATCGTTGAGTGTTGTTCACATTCCTTGTGAACTCAACAGAAGCCCAGGGCTGAGATTGTAAAGGTAAAGGTGAGTTGTATTCTCCCATGTGACAGACGACTTAGTTTGACAGTTTGATTAGGATCCCTGAAGAGCTGAATATATGTAAAAGAGGGAGTAAAGAAATGTGCCAGTATGCAAATACGGCAGTTTAACCTACATTATAATCCTATAGAAGAATTTTGAACTAGCTAAATACACTTTGGGGAAATCTTTATACTAACTTGAATATAAATATGATATTAGACTAATCCAAAACAAACTAATATAACATCAGTATTTAATAATGTGAAACATACAGTTGTTCACTCAAAAAGACAGATTTTGATTAAAAAAAAAAAAAGAATACTAGAAAGTTAAAGCTACAGGGAGTAATATCTATTTTGTGTTGATTTTCTTTTTTTTATCAATGGTTCCATCCAAATAACAGGAGAAATCCTGTGTGTCGTTTTCATTGCTACAGTATGGCAAGGCCGTTGCAACTAAGGTAGCTACCCCAGTCCACTGGTGTAGATGTGTGGATGACACCTGGGTCAAATAGAATGAAGTTCACGGTACAGAGTAGACATTACCATCAGGTTTAAAAAACAAAAAGGAGAGGATATTTCCCAGACACAACATCCTGGAAAGTTTCAAACCATCCAACACCTTGAGGCAGAACTCCCAGACATCAGCAGAGCAATGTTGTTTATGGCACAGCATAGGAGAGCCAGCTCTTCAGGACAGTATTCTGCTATCTACTTACATCTTGTTGGGGTTGTATCAAGTCAACTTTGGTTATATTCTTTAATAATTATACTTAATTATTAATAATATAAATAAAATATCATTAAACTATGTTTAATCTTGTTTTGGGGCACCAACCTGTAATCAGGTAAATATAACCAAAATATCACTCAAATCAGTCTCAAATTAGTTATTTACTTACTAATATTATTAATAATGAATAACTATGTTTAATAAATTGAAGGCGTGAAATCCGTACACAAAGCCTTCGCACCCAGCTTATATCACAATGTAAATACACCAGTAACCACAAACAACTGCTCTCTTAAATTATAACAGAATTTATTTAAACAAAGCAACATCAATCCAAAATCAATGAACTTAATTAAACAAATAACTATTATAAACTAATCTAAGCAACAAACATTATCAAGCAAAGGCTTGTGGAAGGGGTGTGAATGTAGGTGTGTGCGTGTGAGAGAGAGAGAGAGAGAGAGAGAGAGAGGGGAAGAAAGAAGGGGGGGAGATGGCTTCGTACCCACGTGGTCGTTCACGATGGCGCAAACCTAACAAAGACCTGGGTGCGTGCGTGCGTGCATGGATGAAAGGGAGAGAAAGGGGGGGGAAGATTACTTCGTCCCACGTGGTCGCCCTTCCGATGGCGCACACCTAACAAAGGCCTAAATGTGGCCTTAAGGTCTAAAAGAGACTGAGTTCAGCCCTACACGATCTGTGTCCCTGAGGCGTCTGGATAGCCGCGAGTGTATAGATCTCTGTGCGTAATGGCGCGGTGGTGGAGTTGGTCTACAGATGTACGTTTTACACAGGAATATGTGTGTGTATGTTCGTAGAAGGGGAAATAAAGAGAATAAAAGAGAAATGCGAGCCTGAAGAGGCCGGATCACAGTCCGACTCCCGCGCCACAACTCGGAGCAATTCCCTTCATTCACAGAAACAAGCCAATAGCCGAATTCAAGTTAATACAGCTTACACTGGCCTTTCTGATCAGAAGAGTAATACCCGGTTATAACGCGGTTACGCTAAACACATGTAGGACGCAGCGGTCCGAAACGGGAACAGTAAGAGTTTTAAACAGGTAAAACTCAGGACGCAGGTCCAACAAAGATAAAGATTACAGTTTCTGCTTCGATCAACAATTGTTAAAAACACTCTCTAAAGCTAATTCTGCCCAGACCTAATTAAGCCTCACTTGTGAATCGCTTTGTCCGCGATTGGTGAAAGGAAAAGAGTCCGGCGATGGAGCAGATCTTCTGTCCGTTCTGGTGCAGAGGCGTCTGATGGCGGCGAGGGTCCCTTACGGCGAGAGCGGCTCCGTTGGTTCTCCGTCGAGTGGAAAGATGTCCTTTGATGTCCTTTCGTTGCAGGACGGAATAAGACCGTTATCTCTCTGATAATCTGTTATAGTCTGACGCTCTCCGAGAAACTGAGATGCGTTCACTGGACAATTCGAGCTCGGAATTTAGAACACTACCGGCCGCGGATTACCTGCGCGCCAAAAAAACTTAAAACAAAGGAAGATTGTTGCAGAAACAGGAGATAAGCTTGGGTCTCCGAGCACCAGAAGTCAGCGCGTGGAAAGAGAAAGAACAATGGAAGTCTTGGAGTTTTGTAGCCTGGCCTGCTCCATGGGGGGTCTACCTCAGGTCCCCTCCAATGAGGAGAGAGAGGGATTAAGAGTCCTTTTAGGCCTCTTTGTGATCTCAGTGAATAACTCAAATGAGGCTTTTACAGAGGTGCAGGCCCAAGTCCATTGTTTGACTGTCCTAAGCCTGCGTGGCCCAACAATCTGAAGGACAAAGGACACTCCTGTGAAGATGACAAAGTGCACATCCTGGCCAGAGAAAACTGTTGGTTTGAAAGGGGTGTTAACTCTGAATATGTGGTTTGTTTCCATCTGTGTTGAGGTGGAAAAATCATCCCTTAACAGGGGTGGTTGACCAGTCTAGGCAAAATTAGGCAAAGTTTTCCCGCTTGTGCTTAAGCACGATTGTCCCCACTCCCCATTCCCCCGCTGGCCTGCACTGACAATGCTCCAAGAGTAACCGGGCCAATAACGTCGTTATACAACACATGCATGGCTTTACTTGTTCATGAAGCTTACAAGACATTATTTTACAAGACAGGCAGACTAAAAAAATATATATAAGGAATGTGTGGGCCAAGTCCAAGTGTGCACATCTGAGAACAACACAGAGAGCGTGTCAGCTACTGACTTATTTTGAGTCATTTACAACCATAAAAATCTACAGGATTTCTCCATAATGAAGGCTGTTCACATTGTGTACCTGTGCTTGTGCTTGTGCATGAACTGTACCGTGCCGAAGCACACCTCTTCCAAGCACTAGTCAAACAAACTGGACTTTAGGGGTGAGGCGTGCATGGTACGGATTACCTCATGTGAGTGCGCCCTAAATCAACAACTCGGCAACGACTCTCATAAATCACCCTGGACAGAGGCTTCATTTCTTGCGTCCACCAGTTAGTTAGACTGTAGAATTGGAGAAGCTTTTGGGAGGAAAGGTAAAACGTCTTCAAGATCTTTAACCAAGTCCAGTTTCCTTTGGATCAAGCTTCCAATTTACCATGACCTGGATTACTGTGGACCTACACAGACATGTGTCTGCAATAGTCTTCAGCCCATATCATTGGTGTGCCACCCCAAGATTTTCAGTGGCCCCATCTGGACATCCCGATGAAAGGGTGCACCTCTCACCATGGAACTTTGCAAAGGGAAAAAAAATGTTATTTCAGAGTTTCTGCTGCGACTGTAAATCACCAGAACGGACAGCTGTAACAGACATGACAAAAAACTGTGACTGGAAATAAAAAAAATGCTTTTGAAGGTCAAAAAAGCACCAGATAAAGCACCCTGAAAAAAAGCTTTAAAAAAAGAAAGCCTGTCTTTTATTAGTCAAACTCCTAAAAAATGGATCCTACACGTCCCATAATGCAACTCGATAATTCCAGTAAATTTTAAACACATTTCCTCCTAGTTTGTAATCCATATTTGTGTTCAAACTGAAGCTTGTGAGCCACAGCTGACATACTAAGGTGGCTGTCACAGAAGTTATTTCACCTGAATATCCTCCAGAGCTCCACAAGATATCATGCATCTGTTTTCAGGGGCCGCCTAACACCCTCTGTGAGTAGCACATTGACTTTGAATGGAGTCCCTTTAGTAGAACAATGTGGTCTTGGTTCAATTCATTCAGATTTGAGGCAAAACAGAACGTCTCCGGATGTAATTTTTGTCTGTAAACATTAAGCATAATAAAGGTTGGTGAATGGGTATGATTAACTGAGTGAATGTCATAGTGAATGAATGAATGAATACATAAAAGAAACAATGGAGAAATGGGTGTGTTTAGTCTGTATACAAATTCTAAAGGTTGTTTAGATGTGTTGTCAGGGCATGTTCAAGTTATTTTGTCCATTAAGCTGTACTTTGAAGGCTGATGCTTTTTGACGACCCTCCCCCCCTCCCACTAATGGGTTTATGAGACATAAACAGATGCGCATCAAAATGCTGGCCGTTCTCATGTTTCCGGAAATTGCCCATTCGGACACAGACAAGCAACACAATGAAACGTAGGTTTTCTGCCTTTTTCTACCTGCATGAAAAAGTAGCATACTGGATTACTGCACAATGTACGGTTTGTTCCACACAACTTTGTTAAATGGAAGAATGACTCATAGTTTTCACTGTGAGAACTTGAGATTCACGTGGAATCAGGAGCTACAAGTACCAACACATCCTTGATTGTTTCTACTATACTTGATCCTTTTGCATTTCATCCATTCTTCTCCAATTCAGGGCCCTGGTAAATAAGAGCTGTCTTAGCAATAGCCTGTGCAGAAGATACGCAGCCACACTGCACTTTATTTTATTGATTAGATCAATTAGGTCCCTCTTTCTATTCTCACTTTGTTTCATACATTGGTATCTGTGCTTAATCATTAGGGCAACAGGAATGGCCCTGCATCACTCACTGGCTGGGCTTCCTGCTCTGTATCTCTGGTGGGGTAGGTGTGGTGTAAAGTGGAGTGTGTGTGTGTGTGTGTGTGTGTGTGTGTGTGTATGTACATAACTCCACCCATAATCCCTCTCTCCCTCACTCTGTGTTTTGTTGGGGTACAACACTCCTGTTCCTCTTGGCCACTCCTCTTTAGAGCCGCTCACAGCACACTCCCTTGCTCTTCTGTCTCTTTCTTATTCTCTGTCTGCCTTTCCTTTTCTGAAACCTTGTTTCCTCTCATCCCCTCTCCACAGACATCCAAGTCGAACTCCCAGGCAGGATCTACATACCTGCTCCTCAAGGTAAGACACAAACAAACACACAAATATACACACACACACACACACACACACACACACACACCTCCTTTGTCTCACATGCATGTATTTACCTGTCAACAAAACAGTTTACCCGTTAGAGTCATTGTTTTAGGTGATTAACTGTCACAGACTGCTCTGCTAAGGGTTAATTTATGAGAATTTTTTTTTTCTGCAGTCATCACACTCAGACCAGTCTCTACAGGCAGAAGAGACAGCACGAGTAAATAACTTTGAGTTATTTCATCCAAGCTTCAGATAGCAGTTTTACTAAAGGGACACTGTGGGTGAAATGTAAAGTTTAGTCTCGGTTGCTGATTTCCCTGGTTTACCCGTAATTCCATGTAAACTTTACTATTGCAATTATTTTACTGTTTACCTTCTGCATGAATGAAAAGTAAGTTTTGGCTGTTCCACATGCCTACGTTATTCTTTATCTGTTTTTTTTAGTACAGTTAAAGCCAATAGAATTTATTTACAACAAGGTGAATGATGCATCAGATCTTTACCATGCCTCCTAAATTATCATAATATAGAATTTTGTATTTTGTTTGTATTTTACATTTTGATTTTCTACTTTTAATCTGATTCAGACTTTTAAAAAATGATATCATCTGAACAAATATGTATATTTTCTTGGCTGGACAAGTACCAAAGGCCTTTCACCTTTTAATGTAAAGTGATGTGTTAAGTTAGAGGAAGGTGTGAAATCTTTGTATGCCCTGTTGTTAGTAACCCAAAATGGTTATACCCGTGTCTGCTTATGTCATTATTTATAGCAGCCAGTTTGATGAAAGAAAGTTCAACCTATAAGTCATGTCAATGAGAGGATCTGGACTAAACCTGCTTTGGAACACATCATTTACAAACCTAATCATAGTCCATCAGAGTGAGGTTACTAGTGTAAATGCTTGAACCTTTGTAATGGATATCACTTAAAGTTACTAACAGCGTTCAGGCAACCTGGAGTCAACAGGACGCTGATGTTAATGACTACATTACCATCAGCAGAGCCAGGGAAGCTGGAGATCAATGAGCGCATGTTACTTAAAAAGAAGATTTTTTTCCTCATGCTAAACTATGGGTGCAAGAAAAAAGATGTTAAAAAAGGAAAAATATAATTTTTCATTCTGTTTTGCACTGAATATATACAGTATTGATGCTTGTTCAGTATTTTATGCTTTGACATGCAGCAACATTAACACACAAACTTGCTTCACTGAGTGGGAAAAGAACATGTAAGTAATCTTGGCAGTGTGGTGGCATATATTTTCATTTTCAAATGATAAACTAAAGGGAACTAGAAAATGTAAAAAGCTGATGTAGGCACCCTCTAATGTCCTGTGTTTTTAAATAAAAATGTATGGGTCGTGGCTATAAAGAGATATCACCTAAAAAATAACAAATCTGGAATTACACTTGTTACTGTAAGTGATATTGTTGGTATCCAAGGTTAACAATAACACTGTATAGTTAAGAAGACAAACTCAGAGACATTAGACATGCATGTTGTCAGCTTTTAATCCCACCTTGCCTAACAGCTTTGACCTGCTTGTATTTACTGACTTTGCTGCAGCACTCTGAAAGCTGATATTGAGAGAATAACAAACATCGCCTTTGCAGTGTTGTTACAGTATGACAGCTGAGGATTTAAATAATGAGTTTGTAATTAATACAGCTTAAAACGGAATTTATGAGACACTTAAAAGTGAGATATGGAGAGGGAGACGTTGAAAGCTATGTTTCACAGTGATAATAACACCTGAGGCAACACTACCTCACAGCCAAAACAACGTTGAAAATACATCACAAAAAGGACAGCATGATGTGGTAATCTCAACAAGTTCAAACAAGAGATTGGTTTACTAACGGTTGCTGGGACACTCGTTGTTTTCATGACTTACAAAAAAATATGCTAAATATCTAAATATCCAGTCTTTTCTATTACATAACTTTACAATGCTTAGATATGTAGTATAAACACATTCAAATAAATACACATGATGTTCATACGAATAAATAATGAGATGCACAACGTTGGCACACATTGCGTGCAAGTAATAGAGGAAACTCCAGAAAACAAGAAACAGCTGCACTTTGTGTTTCGGACGAGTTAATGCAAGGCCATGAGGCATAATTGCAACCATATTGCACACATCTATATGATCGCATGTGGAGTGTGTTATTTTGTTGTTAGAACAAGGACAAGAGAAATATTGTTTCTATCAAAGCACACATGGTGGATCTGGCATGAAACTGTTTCTCGTCATTGAGTGTACATTCAACTCAAAGAGAATAGTTACATGTTTAACATGTTCATAAACAGGATGAGAGCAGGAAAAGTTTCATTTCTGAGGTGGTGGGGGGGTATCCTTCTATTGCTTGCAGTTAAACATAAAGTGTTTATTCTAGAAACAGGTGTTAGTCCTTAATATCATTATTTTATGTAATAATTAATGAGCTCCACAGCAGCTCTTACAGCTCACTGGGATTAGCACATGGTCTTACAATCAGTGCTGTGTTTTTTTTTTTTTAATCAGGTGGATTCAAATTTTATCTGGAAGGTTATCATTAGTATGTTGGAGTCCAATTGCACATGCACTTGAAGTTTATATAAACAACACAACCAAGGCCTGAGGCTAAAATATGCAAGGCTTTCATGAGACAGCAGCAAATGTGTTGCTTGCTGTTTAACGGCGCTCTCCAAACCTATTTTCCTCTTGCTTCCAGCCTTAGAAGGTGCAAACCTTTTTATCTTTCTATGAAAATAACATCACCCAAAACTCTGTTAAATCTCTCCTCGGCCCAATTTCCTCAACAAATCTTTTACTAAGACAAGCTTGTATTCTCATTTGCACATCATAAAAAAAGTTACAACAATTTTCCAATTCTAACTTTGCTGTGCAGGGATCTCACTCGGGCTGGAAACTGCTACTCTTGATTTTTCACATTTTGCATACTTGTATCCTTTTATTTGCCAGTTAATGTGTTTGATACTGCTGATGTCAAAACATTTAATGCTGCCATCATTTTTTTCCAACACAATAAAGTGTTCAATTTTCTGCCCATCATCACTTTTCAAACCTCTTTGCATGCCTTCACAGAAAGCTAAAATGCCTTAAGTAATAACCACAATTCTCGCTTCTTCTTTTTATTATTATTATTTTTTTTTAACCCTTTTTCTTACAGGCAGGAAATGCACTCCAAACGGCCAGGGGGCTACAAGTGTCGGGTAGCAGCAGTGCTGCTTCTCCTCCTGGGCAGTATTGCTGCTCTGGTTGCTGTTGCTGTCATCCAGGACACCTGGGGGACTAACAAGTACACATTAGAGGTGAACACAAACATTCACACAGAAACGTGTTAGCTGCTTGACTTATCAAGTAACAGCATATCATTGCTGTGAATGTTAAGATAGACAATAACCAGATGTCAGGGTCAAGATAAGATAACTGATGATGTTATTTAAAGGGTTGTTGTTGATGTTGGGAGTTGCACATAGACTTTTTAAAAATATGGATATAGTCTCGGGAACATTGCCCATTGGTTTCTGAAGAGGAGTTTAGAAACATAACAATAGCGGATGGCATTTGGGAAATACTGACACCAGCCACATTCTGGCCAATCCAGAAAAGGAAAAGAGGTGGAGTTAAGGCAGGCCAAATGAACATCTTGGTTCCTGAAACACAGCCATCTAGCTAGAATATTTCACACAATGAAAACAACATTAAAAAGCTCAAAGTTTTACCTGAAGTAAAGCCTAGCTTCCTTGACAGTGACAATGAGCCCGCCTGCTAGTTAAATAAGCCACGACACTTGTTATGCCTATAATACCACGTACATTTTTGACCTATAATGAAATAAGCTAAGCACAAAAAATTGTTTATTTCTACTGTTAAAATAAGCATTTAATATAATAAGGTTTCCTTGGTCTTGAGAGACAGCCTCAAGTGGAAACTCAAGGAAATGCAATGTTTTACACTTCCTCATTGGCTTCATTTTTTTAACCCGGGAGGTTGTGCTAGGAGTTAGCAGCCTCTTTAACTTTAATTTGGTTTTCCAGTCTAAATGCTTAATCAGATATTTAAGGGGGTTTAAATATAATACTATTTAAGGTCAAATGTGCATTTGTAGAGACCAGATGTTATTTATATGCTTAAGTTTGTTATTTCTTCTTTCCTGCAGTATGGCATAGTTATAGACTCTGGTTCTTCACGCTCAAATATATACCTGTATGAGTGGCCAGGGGAGAAGGAGAATGAAACTGGAGTGGTGACTGAGAAATTGAACTGTAGAGTTGATGGTGAGTTTCTTGTCTCTTCAATGAGAAGAGCTTCACTTTTCAGTTTGCATGTAATCAGTTTTTATAAAAGCATGAAATTATTAAAGATATTAAAAGTAAAAAGACCATACTAAGCATTTTGACATCACCATCCATCAGCTGTAACTCAACTGACATTAACGCACGCACCTCACTTTATGCATTAAGTTGTTGTACTTAAGAGTATATTTCAAGCTTGGCTTTGTGCCCATAGGTGATGGTATCTCAGAAATGAAAGTTGACCCGGAGAAAGATGCTAAATCATTGGAGTCATTCAACAAATGTATGGACAACATCATGCAAACCATTCCTGCTGAAAAACACAAAACCACGCCTCTTTTTCTTGGAGCTACTGCTGGAATGAGACTGCTGCAGTAAGTACGGGATGAAATAAGCTATCTTTGTGTATTCTCTTCTCATAATTTATAATGGAGAGTGACAGGAAGGATCAGAACAATGTACTGATACAATGAACACTTTATATTAAGGTGCTTGTAATAAGCATTAATAACAGGTAATAGGTCACTTATAAGTCACTTATTACCTGTTATTAATGCTTATTACAAGCACCTTAATATAAAGTGTTACCCAGTGTAGGCCCATTTATGCACCAAATCGTTTCTCTCAATACCCTCCAAGTCACAGGACAGATCCAGCAATACAACCTGTTCAGACTGATGACTGGGGAAATAACCAAAAGCTCAGCTAGGGTAACAATGATCCTGGGAGGTTCAAATTCAGCCCCCACACGGTTTCTGTTGTTGTGTTTGTTGTTACATTAAGTGTTTATTGAATGTTAAAGCATTATAGATGTATATGTGCTGAATCAGCCCTTAACTCTGCTTTAAAGTACACAGGTTAGTATTGACTTGTTTTAGAATAAATCACAATGTATAAAAAGAAAGATTAAATGTGCAGCCCAAGCACATTTTCAATGAACTTCTTTGTGTTATTGTTGGCCTCAAATTTTCCACACACATCAGTGTCATGAACGGTTGGAGAACAAGGAGAGGTGGACCCAAGTGCAGAATAAACTAAAAGTATTTAATAATCAAAAAGGCCAAAGGCAAACAAAAACGTACTCCCAAAAGCTCAACAAAAAACACAGAGACCAAAAAACAGGGAGCCACACAGGAGCATGAGCAAAAACTGACACGCAACACGCAACACGCAACACGCAACACGCAACACGCAACACGCAACACGCAACACGCAACACGCAACACTTACAATGAACTAACAACACTAGGGAAGGAACACAGAGACTAAATAGACAGGGGTAATCAAACACAGGTGAGACTAACAAGACACAGGTGAAGACAATCAGGGCAATCAAGGCAGGGAGAAACACAAGACCAGAAACAGTGAGGACAATACAAAATAAATCATGAAACACTGAAGACACACAGAACTCAAGAGTCTAACAAAACACACTAGAACACAGAGATACACGAGGATAATGAATGACAAAATAAAACAGAAAACACTGAAGACAAAACTAGGAAACCATGAACACTAGGAAACATTAACACACAAGGGAAACAAGCAACACTGGGATAAAGCGGGGAAACTCAAACACAAAACCAAATCATGACAATCAGTCCATTCTGTTATGTTATCACTAACATTTGCATTTTGGGAAATGTGTTTATTTGTCTTCTTGTCTAGGAGTTGCATGAGATAATCTATACCACTCACATGTATGTGTAGTTAATATAAAGCTGGAGCCATGGGATGACTAGCTTAGCTTAATTTACTGAGCAGGACAAGGAGGAAGGGTAAACTAGCCTTGTTCTTTGACAAAGTTGTAACCCCAAGTACATTAACTTTCTGCACAGATTTAACAAGGAAGATTTGGTTAACATGAAGTGAAGGGTGAAGATTTGTATTGTCTTTCAACAATGCCATGATTAATATTTCTGGATATGTCTAGATTAAGTTCAGCTAATCGTCTCCTTGCTAGCTCTAGCTTCATATGCGTCTTAAAAACATCAGAGATGTATCAATTTGAGGATTTAACTCCTGGCAGGGAAGAACCTAAAACCAGAAAAATAATCAATATATTTCTATTTTTCATTGCCACTTACCACTGTTATTGTGCTTGGTTTTCTGCTCTGCTGTAGTGAGAAGGATGAGCAGAGGTCCAATGAAATCCTGGCAAGTCTCACAGAATACCTCAGCTCTTTGCCTTTCGCTTTCCAAAACGCCTCCATCATTTCGGGTCAGGAAGAGGGCCTGTATGGGTGGGTGACTGTCAACTACCTCAAGGGAAGATTCCTGGAGGTAAGATACTGCCATTAGCCTTCATCAAAGTTTACTTATCATTTTGAATATTGAAAAAGAAGGAAAGTCCTGCCTAACAAAAAGGACCATCACAAGGTTAAGCATATATGAAGCTCACCTTTTACCTTTATATTGCAGCTACACTTGTTGAACAAGTTTATTCGCCCAGAAGGGGCAAAGACTTCTGGGTCCATGGATCTTGGTGGAGCATCGACACAGATTGCCTTTGCGGTCCAAGATGAACTCAGGGGGGATGACTACATGCGTGTCAAGCTGTATGGATATCCTTACAATGTCTACACACATAGTTTCCTTTGCTATGGGAAAAATGAGGCAGAGAAGAAGGTTCTGGACAAAGTAGTTCAGGTACGCAGCTTGTCTTTTTGTGTTCCGCATGTGTGAGCAGAAGAAACTTTGTCATATCTCCATGGTGTAATAATAGGGGTGTTGGCTCTTCTGAGTTTCTCCTTGAACACAATACGTTTCTGTGCTCATGTTTGAAGTGCTTGTGTATTTGTGGTGGTAATATGGGCCTCTTTGCATGCATGTGCAGACGAAAGAGCATTAAAAATTGATGCATGAACACTACTGTCCCATGCATTATGTCATTAACAATATTGATCGGACCATGAATGTCCTCAAGCTAGTCTACTGGAAATGCATTTTTCTGGCAGGTTATAGCTTTATTTTTTAGACTAATAGTAATTGTGGCTTGAGAGATATGCTATGCTGTGGTAATTTGTTATGGGAAGTAATTTGCAGCAGAATCCTGGAACAAAATGCAACTTCGTCTCAGTACAAGTAAAACTGTCCAAACTCTTCCCTCATACCTATTCCTCCCAAGACTCTTTTTATTTTTTCCTTCTGACATGTCGTCCTCCTCTTCACGTTTCAGCAATCATCTGACCCAAGCTTCATTATTAACCCCTGCTACCCCGAAGGCTTCAACATCACTTTAAAGGCCTCGTCCATCTATGACACAGAGTGCACAAAGACTCCCAAAAACTACGACCCGGATCAAGAGTTCTTCATGGTGGGAGAAGCCAATTCCGACAAATGTGGCAGCTTAGTGAAGTCTATTTTTGATTTCAAGACTTGCTCATCACCTCAGTGTTCCTTCAACGGGGTGGAGCAGCCACCTGTCACTGGAGATTTCATGGTAAGACACAATCAAATAGTAGACATGCAAATCAAGAGGTTAATAATTGATGACTTATATGTTTGTACTGCTCTTATCAGGCATACGCAGGATTCTTCTTCACTGCCAGAGCGCTGCTGATGAACGGCACATCGGAGTTTGATAAGTTTAATGCTTCAGTGAAGAAATTCTGCCACACACATTGGACAGTGGTAAGTTTGCCCAGTTGGTATGTGGGCATAAAAACAAGAGCCAACATGGAATAAGGGCATGAAAAGATGAGAGAAGAGAAGGAAGCAACAAAGAAATAAGACAACATAAACAAAAAAGCAGAAATGAGCAAAATGCTAAGTTTGTGATGGGTGGTGCAGCATACACACGAGCAAACCACATTCCACATCCTTTTAACACGAGAACAACATAAAGGAACAATTCCTTCCTGAGACTAAACACCTGCAGACCAATTATTAAGGTGTACAAAATTGTGTGATGGCATTTCTTCTCTGGTGTTGGTCAATCCATGTGGTGAAAACCTAGTGCCTTAACTTGTGTAATAACTTATAGGAGGTCTTATTTTTTATACAATATTGGATGCGATAATGAAAGCCCTTTCTAGCCCTCTCAAAAGTACTCACAAAGAAAATGTATAAACGGATATTCAAATATGTATATCAGAATCCCATAAATAAACAACAAAATAAGCATTAAAGTAGTCAAAACGTATGAAAGTGGCACTCAATAATAAGAAATTAAATATAATACTTGAAGGAGAAATATGGTTATGGGGTTATAGTTTGAGAGTGATTAGCTTAGTTATTTGGATACTTTAAACAAGAGAAATGCATCATTGTACACAAACACCATGGCTGTCATGTAGGAGAAGATATTTAGACTTGGTGTATAAAATCCCCAAAGTAGCTGTCATATCTTTGCAAGTAATCAGAAATGTCACGTTATCTCTACAGTTATTTTAAATGATATTTAAGCACAAATACAGTAGTTGGCTCTTGCCCTTATCTTTGTCTAAAGGTTGATTGTATAAATTTGACAACATTGATACTCTGTTCTTTAAAATCATTCTTAAAGCTTCACCCTTGTATTTGCTTCTCTCTCTTTTTTAGCTGAAGGTTGAAAAAATATCGATCTCGGACAGATATCTCAGGACCTACTGTTTTGCAGCTCACTATGTCTTCACGTTGCTGGCTGATGGATACAAGTTTGATGAAGAGACTTGGAAAAATATTCAGTTTGATAAACAGGTTTGTAGAACAAAAACACAACATGAAAACCATAGACACTCCTTTAAGCTGCCCCAGCCGCATGCTTACCACAGCTGTTATTTCAATTAATAGATATTTTATTTGTTCCACTATCATCTATTCTAGCAAAAAGAATGCTCTTCTTAATATTGAAGAAGAAAATCAAAAAAATAAAAACATTCAAAATATTTCTAGTAGTTTTATGGGAGTTGCTGTCAGCATTCTTTCATGTTCAGACACAGATGTCTAACATTATTTCACATACACCAGTGTGAACAAGGCCACCCATTAAGGATGGATTGTTGGCATACCAGTTATCTGCACTGAAAGAGTTGAAGCAGCAGTGAAAGACAGGCAATGTATCTCTCTAGGATGCCCTCAGGAGATGGCGTCTCTTCACAAAGGAACTCCATCATCCGAGGGGGATTCCTTGTGTGTGACACTGAGCCTATTACTCATGAGTCATAGAGAAAGAAAGAAGCTATTAAAAAGTGACACATTACAGCAGCAGTTTCCTAATTGCATGGCGGCTACTCTTTTGACTCATATAAATGTTCTTCCAAATCTGGCAATGCTCCCAATTTCCAGTCCCACAACCAAGAGAATAAGGGTGCAGTGTGTGTTGTTTAGTGCCTTTGGGGTGTCTGGGAGTCTGGCAAGTGGGGTAGGTCCTTAAGAGGATTTCACAAAACAGACACACTTGGATTCTTTACAGGGATTGTCTTTGGGTCTTATGACTCATCTTTTGCCCAGGAGCAGTATGCTACTTCATAACAGTGGCTGTGAGAGCTATTACTGCTCTAGACATGCAAGGCAATGTACAGCATTAGCCACAGTGGCAACGAACACGATTTTGCTGTAACGAAATATTTATATCTGAGAAACAGGCTATACATTCAAGGAGGATATGATGAACGATCATCAAAACAAATTCAGCAGCATGGGGTGCAGAAGACCTGTTATCAAAGAAATACATTAAGTTAATTTAACCAATATCCAATTCCACATGGTGCCCCGTAAAAGCATGGATCACTTCTGTCATGATGACTGGATACTCATAAATTTCCTGTAGTATTTCCATGACTTAGCATCTTTCTGTATCAGAAGTGCATTTGCTGTTTAAACATTTGTTTTGCCTTTTGTTTTTTTTTCATATGAAGTTGTTAAAGCGTCGAGTTAATATGATTGTAGTCATATTTCAACATGCACTATTTGTGAATCTGCAGCCTGTTTGTCCCATCAATAATAATCATTTTGCCCGTTTTAGCATGTTTGGCCTAGTCTTCCTCTTATTGGCTGACTTGAAGCATTAGAAAAATATACAGTGCGGAGCATGCACATTAACAGTGAACATCAGGTATCACTTTTTTCTTTTCTTATCTTCTCTGCAGGTAAAGGACACCAGCATAGGTTGGAGTTTGGGCTACATGCTGAGTGTGACCAACATGATCCCGTCTGAAGTGAAAATAATCCCCCCCATGACAAACCCGGTCTTTGCTGGCCTTATCTTTCTATTTTCAGCGCTTACCATTGTAACTGTTGTCTTCATTTTCATCCTCCTCGTTCGCGCCTGCTTCTGAGAGACTAAGTTACAAATGGAATGATCTGCAATCAAGCCTTATGGGGTCTGCTGTAATCCTCTAAGAGCACTACAGTCGCATGGCTGAGTGACAGTAACTTACCGTAATGTTTCTGTTTTTCCAACCTGAGCAATTCACCATCTCATATTTCAGTTATTTTGAAAAGTTGAATAGGAGCCTCAAATTGTAAAACCTCTCACTGCTTGTATCAGATGTTAGACTGGGTCTATTGCTACAGTATAAATGTTTTTAGAACAGTATTTTTTAAGTCCTGTACCTCAGGGAGACTTAAAGATTTAAGTAAGGGATCTATTTTTAGCTTTTCAAGCTACACAAAAAGACGTGAGAAACTCACATGGACCTGCAGGCGAAAGCATGATAAATTATCCCTCCATCACTGTTTTGGTTGTATGATATATGTGTTTGCACTGAATGCACCCTCTTTAAATACAATGTGGTAGTACTTTGTTCTATTGTAGCATTTTATACCAGAAGTACACAATCATACTCCACATTTAATGAATGAAAACCTCCCTAATACATAATGTATGTTTCCCAGTGTGCTGTACTGTAGGTTCACTCTGAGTTTGCAAACTAAATACAGTCTACATAACACAACACATCCTCTACTTTTTGTTAGTTTAAATACAAGATTTTTTGATTTTGGTAATGAAGATAAATGGTCAATGAAAATAATTGTTCTTAAACCCATTGAAATATTTCTGCAGCAACCTTGTGTTATTACATTACTGGCAAGATTTTACTCTGAACTTTCAGAAAAAAGGACATTTTGGATAATGATTTGAAAATGATTTATAGTATAGATCAGAGGAGGTCCAAGTGAAGTTGTGAAGTTGAAGGAAACTAAAATAAGTGAAAGTAATGTTACCGATGGGTCCTGTCATCTCCAAAAATCTATTTTTTTACAGTTTTGAGTGCAATCTTCATTACATTTAAAATATGAGAAGAAGTAAGTGTTAATACGAAGCTTTTCTTCTGAGAGCTATATATCAATCAGTGGATAATAGTCAACATACTGATGACAACATTTTCACTAGATTTGTTTTGGCTTTGGAAATCAAACTAGCATTTAGTCCAGATGGGAAAAACAGAGTTGAGAGAAAACAATTGATTTCTTAACTTTATATGAAAAATAGATGAAAAATGTAATGGATAGGAGACTTTAAAGGTAAGAGTTTTTCTCTGTACTGTGCCAGGCACATTTTGCTCTATAGCAAGAGAAAGGTTTTTCTTCCCAGGGTTATAGTACATCATCATTTCGGATTGAAAGCAGCATAAATATAAACATGTAGATGTCTGTGTCTCTTTTGACACGTGTGTGCATGGTATTGTGCTTGGGGAACCGTTTTATTCATATTTGGTCTTTGCACTGTAGAGAATGATGCATGATTCATGTAATGCATTGACTGTGTCTGTGTTATTTTTGTAATACTATTACTCTCTCTATTAAGTACATAATAAAGTTATGATCTAACTGTACCTGTTCTAAGTGTTGTGTAAGATTAAGGCCTTCATATTGCATCATAAGACACTTAACTGATGAAAATAGCTTAGCATATATTGTAGTGTTTTCACTAAGTCTTTTTAGATCAGTTGTTTGTCCTTTTTTAAGTGAATGCATGTTAAAGTTGAACAACTTATTTCTAGATTTGAACACTTCAATCTCATATAAGTAAGCTGAGGAACTGAAAAACCCAAGGAAACCTGTGTTGAATATGCCAACAGGCACGCTAAACCTCCCATTTGTCATCTGTGCTTCAGTGTCCTCTGGTGGAACTGCTTTGTACCTGCAGAATACATAAAATGAGTAATGACTGTTTTAAACATTTTTTTATTGAAAGGTTTGTCTAAAAAGAAACTAAAAGAAAAAAAAAGACATTTGAAACTACAGCAATATCCACTGGTTCTACAGACACTCTCAGAATCACAATTTGAAAGACATGGGTGGCATGTGACCAAGCAAATAAAAAAATAGCATCATCAAAGTTATTTCTGTCGCATCTTCTTTTACACACCTGTACAAAAAAAGATCTCATAAATATTACTTATGTTCTCGCCATCTTTGCTTTCTCTCTTCTCTCAATAATTTATTTTCCCATAGAGGTTTGTTTCTGGTTGATTTTGGTTGAACCATGTTCTTACCATCTGTTCGTCAGTTCCTCCTTCTCCATTAGCTTCCTTTCATTGGTGGTCGGGCAGGTGGGGCGTTTGCGGTGTTTCCTCCAGGGCGTGTTTTAGACTATTTTAAATCACAAGAGTTTTTCATTTGATTTTTTAGTTCTCAACTACAGACGAAGGTTCTCATTCAAGGTTTTATCCTGATATGAATATAAAGTTCTGGGATTTGCTTGTTTTGGGTCAGCCACAGGCAGAAATACTTCTCTCCTTTCACATGAAAAGAGGCAACATTTTACAACCTGTGATGCTTCATATGCCTTGAAGTTATGGATAACATTTACATGTCTTTACCTTGGCTCTAAATGGTCAATTACTGTCATTATGGAGGATTACCTTTTCCACACCCACCCAACCTAAGACAACCTAAATCCCCAATAATCAAAAGTACTTAGCAGCTCAAACATCATCATTAATTCCAAAAAAAGCAACACAAAAGAAAAAGAAAATATCACTCTTTGTCCATTAAAAATACAAAAAAGCTGAAATGATTTGATACACACAAATGCGATTTTCTTGCCCTGCTGTCATTTTAAATGTATTGTGTTTGGCAAGACTGCGGCATTAGACAGTTTGCTGTATGGACTGAGAATACATACTTGAAAATAATCAAATGTAGAGCATTTGGCAAGCTGTCACAATAATTTAAAGCTCCTCTGTGTCTGCATTTAGGATTTGTGAATCGTCAATGTTGCCCAAAGAGGATGTTGTTTTGGGTGGATAAAGTACGCACCATATGACACCTCTTGGAATCCAATTTAAGCCTGTATAAACACAAAGGTCACCAGATTATTCCCACCTTCACTTTCTCCGTTCCACAGAACGCCGGTTCTCTCCACAGATGTTATTGCCCATGATAAATCATCACCACATTTGATCATGACACAAACACGTCTCAGAGTGCATTCTTGTGGTTGAGGAAGTTGTGTTTGAGATCTGCTGCTTCTTCACAGCCACGGATACGATCGTCTCATACACAAAACAGTGTGATTAGCAAGAACAATCTCAGCTTCAGAGGTGAAAAAAACATGAAAGAAAAAGCAACATACAGTCAGGAAGATCTCTTCACTACCTAGTTTCTTCATCTTTGGTATAAAATATGCCCCCTGCAGGCTGCTTTTGTTCAACAGTTAAGAAAGACTCAAGAAACTGTCAACAGTTTGACTAAAACTATTGCTTTTGCACATTTAAAAATCCTAGCATTTTTATCCTGCTTTTTGTCAAAGTCACACTTGTTCCCTTTTTTCTTTTCTTTTTCTTTTTTTTTTTTTTTGCAGTGAGACAAGCAAAGCAGGCAAAGCAAAACCCTTTAAAGGCTCAAAGACTGCAATCGAAAACAAACCAGGAAAAAAAAAAGCTATAAAGAGTACATATGTGATGGAAAAACAGAACTTTTATCTGATGTTTAAAATGAATTGAATGTTTTAAGGAAGCAGTGGATTGACCCTTCCCACCAGTCGCATTAAGGACGTTTTTTTTTCTGACCATCTAACATTAGCCGCACCTCACCACATAATTTAAAATCATCACAACTACAACCTTTTTTTTCTAATCCTGTACAGATAGCTTTGTAGATATTCTCTCTAAGACTCCTGGAAATCTCTCCAAGACACCTCTCAAATCATTCAACCACTCAGTCTTTTTTTTTCTTTTTTTTTTTTTTTGATTCAGCACTCTGGAAACTTTTTGTTTCCAAAGATTGAAAAAAAAATTAAGGCAATAAAGATTTAAGAAAAAACATTGATATTCTAAAAAACTACTCAAATAATAAAAAGAGTGAAAATAATGTAGCTTAATACCAAAGGAAGACAATCTGTTTTTTTCTTAGCCTTTGCTTCCTTTTTTTTTTTTAATTTAAAAAAAAAAAAAGTCTGAAAATCTACCTGCACATTCAAATGTTCTTTTTTTCTGTACAGTTTGTTGGTTGAGTTCAGATTCAGTCTATGTCCTCGATTCTTCCTTTGGAGGCAAAGTCCAGTCTCACAGTGAGAAACTCAAAGTTGTAGACTGTGTTTGATTTCATTGTCTTTTAGTCCAAAAAAAAACATCATTTCTTTTTTTTTTGCCCGTCTTTTTTCCTGCCTCAATCAGGTAAGAAAGAGAACTGTTTTTTTATTTCTTCATTTTGTCATGGATTTAGTGCCTGTGCACAGATGAAGCGTTCTTCCCCTCAGTGTTCCCGTGTCACCTCTGGTTTTTTGTGTGTGTCCCTGTTTCATCTTGATTCTCTGTGTGTCTTTAGCGTCTCAGTGCAGTCCTTCTGAAGGCAATGCAGCAATGATTCCTCCCAATGTTGTTATCTAGAGGAGACAGAAAAAAACAAGTGAGTAGACTGTGGACAATATCACCACTTCAAAGGCTGGAACAACTTTCTTTGTCCAGCAGTAAAGGAAACCAACAACAGGTTATCTAGAAGGCAGAGAAACAAGGTGGATAAATACCTGGAGAAAGAAAAACATTCAGAGAGAAAGGTTGATCAAGCAAACATTGACATGATCCTATAAACACAGAAAAGGAAAATGTTGTGCATTTGTCTGTGCGACTAATACACACTTCAATCTTCTGTAAGCACTCTGATACTCTGATTTATTTTCAAATCAAGACCTCAGGAAAAGACTTGAATGCTGTTCCCTTGATGAGGGTTTGATTAGATCAGTTTCACACTCAACTCTATTATTTATTTTGAAATTTGGACCCCCATTAGCCACTATACCAAAGTAGCAACTACTCTTCCTGGGGTCCGCTCACATCCAAACATGCAATTAAAATCACACAAATCACATTATAACAAATCCAAGGCAAAATGGACAGAAATATAAAAACAACAGTAATAACAACAATACAATAAACAGTCAAAGTACAAATCAAGAAGACCGAGATGATCATGTCCAGTGTTTCCCCTACCATTATATTAGGGGGGGCGGCCCGCCCCCCCAACGCCCCCGCCCACCTTGAAGGTCAAGTAAAATTATTATTATTTTTTTTTTTTAGATTTATTTTGGGTTAGGGCTACAATAAAGGCTTTTTGTGCCTTTATTGTAGAGATAGGATAGTGGATAGAGTCGGAAATCAGGGAAAGAAGTCATTTAGGACACCTTTCCGATAGAAAAGAACAGCTGTCATTAAAAGTAACACATGAACACCAAGAGTGTTTGTGTCGGCGTGTCTGTGTGTGTCCCTCCCCACCCCCCAAAGCTGTAAACCTAGGGGAAACACTGATGTCAAATTGTGTACCGTCAATCCCTTAGCTTTCTAAAGACACTGCTATATAGTGTGTATAAGCAGACTGTATAGGAATGTAGAAATGCAGACAAGAGATAAGACTTTGTGTGTCAAAAGTATCTGTTTGCAGTCCGAGTCATATCATCAAATCCCATTTCAGCGGTTTTGGGTTGTGGGCAAGAAATAAATCCCCCGAACCCATAGACCAGCATAGCATAGAAATGACATCTATGTTTAAATGCAGATATCGCGTTGCAGATGTCATCTCTCCTCCTATTTCACAATTCTTATGTCTCAAGTTACTGGATGGACTGAAAAAAAATTAACTGCAGACAGGAAAAGTCTTGGCCTCTTGTGTAATCGGGGCATTAGGTGTAGTTAACACTACGGTTAAGCAATAAATGAATCAGAATCTCATATTATCATCAGTTCTTTTGTTTTACCAACTATTAACTTCTGACTTACGTAACAGAGACATCCATGAACTCACTTAGACTGCTGGTAGGAGTAGGCTGTGGCATGATCTCCTGTATTCTCCACTGATAAAGGCTGCTGCCCACTGACGTCCTGCGAGGAGGGGGCTGCTGTCTGCTGAGATGCATCAGCCACCACGCCCTGAAACCCCAAACACAGTCACAGAAACAAGTCAGTATTGTTGTTAATACTGTATTCATTTAAATGATAGCAACATATTGTTATCTCTATCCGTCTTTCTCTGTCTCTCCCTTTATCCCCCCTCAACCCTAACACAGTCAACATGAGTCTGGTTCTGCTCGAGGAATAAAAGGAAGTGTTTCCTTGCCACTGTAACATTGCTGAGTTTTGCTTAGTGCTGTGCTCATGGGGGATTAATGTTGGTTCTTTGTAAATAATATAACAAAAAGTATGGTCTACACCTGCTCTTTTTGTGAAGTATCTTGATATAACATTTGTTATGAATTGGTGCATTACAAATAAGAAAAAAAAACAATGTGATTTTTCTTCTCATCTGAGAATCCATACAAGTGCCTCTCCACTTTTAAGAATGAGTTCATTTATTTGGCAATGTTCCACCCTGGATGACACTAAATCACACCTGATTCTGACATCATCGTGGCTTACTTAAAGGCTTTATATGCGATTTTTTTCATCCAGCAGATGTCGCCCTTGAGCACCAGCATGAAACCAAAACAACTTGAGGTGCATTGTTGTGTTAGCATGCTAATGCTAGCGATCTTTATTATGCTCGTATCTTCACACTGCATGTAAATTTACCTGAAATGAGCGTGATCTAGAAACACAGTTAAGCAGTGAGTACAGTATGTTATTCTTCTTTTCTCTAGTCCCTCAATTAAACAACTTTTATACTCGAGGGGAGGAGTCAGCCGGCCGTCCTGGCGATGTAAACAAACTGAAGATAGGACTCTGAAAATTCTGAAAACATCACAGACAGTGGGACTCGGGTGTTACACCCATTGTAGACAGTCATGACTCACAGAGTTATTTTCAGAGGATTTACTTGATTTCTATTATATTTAAGTGTGAAAAATCACATAGAAAGACTTTAACAGGTTTTCTCAGTTCCAATGAACTAAAATTGAGATTTCACTTAACTGGCAGGACCAACGTAAACCACGGCTTCATTTACTTAAATGTAATTCCCCCAAGATGATGTGCACAACAGAGTGTCTAAGTCTCACTATTTTAAGCAGTTGAGCCTTGTCAAGCCCTACAGGGTGCTGTTTAAAGAGCGTAACCAGGCTTAAGTCACTAAACAACCTCTATCTGTCCTTACCTCCACTGTGATGGCAGAGGCAGGCACTGCAGTGTACTGGGGAATGTAGGTTCCTTGCATAGACGCAGCAGCTGCAGCAGGCATGTACTGCAGAGAGAGGGAGGGAGGAGGTGAAGACAGTCGTATAATATAGGTAAAACAATATGTCCTCAGCTCTGTTTTGTCTGTGTCAAAGCAAATGTCATATGTATAATAAACAGGAAATGGCGTTCTCTATACGAGTGGTTTCTGATGTGAGATTATCTTAATAACAGTTGGAAACTTGGCTGACTAATTATATAAAATGTATTACAACTGAAATAAATAAAATATACTGTTAAATGCCGAGCAAGATACTTAAGAGGAAGTCAAAGTGGAAACTTACAGTGCCTGTAGTACCCAGAGACAGGTGGTTCATCTGCTGGGCGAGAGGAGCCATTACACTGGAAGGGTGAAGAGACAAACTGGGCTCTATGGCTGCGGTCGGGGTGATCACAGCACCCTGAGAGAGGGAATTTAAGAAAACATGACGGACTGTAATAAAGACATTAATTGTACAAGGTGAACAAACTCTTGTTTCTAGTCATTACCCATTATCTGACAGGCAGAGTAAAAGGTGAACTAAAAAGACGGATGATGAGGTAGGAGATGTGAAATGGATAGTTTTGGTGGATACCATTCCTTAGGCTGACCAAATTTTCAAACCTCAAAATTAGGACACTTCAATTTACTGCAAACCCACATGTATGAGCTCATGGTACAATTAGCTTTTGCATCAGCGCTCCTTTTCAACACCAAACAATCGGCTCCCAAAATCGACCATTTTGAATTTGAATTCAAAAATGTGTTTAACATAACACCAACAGAAGGATTGCATTGCTTGTAATAGAACATAATATTTCATATGTCACCAGACCTGCACTGATTACACAAGATGGTAGGCAGAGGTGCCCCCCTGAGCAGCCCAGGCATATTCATTGCCTGGTATTTTTTTTTGAAGGAATCTGTAACCCCCCTTTGAGCTCTTAGCTCTGACTTCCTTTTTGACACGGCAGCTAGCCCTACCTGTCGTTACACAGTAGGTCCTGTTAGTATGATCCGCTAGGCTAGCCAAGCAACAGCCGCAAGACATTGAATGACACATGTACAGACAAATCAGTATTGAACTTTATATTGTGGTGCATTAGTGATTTTTTCTCTATTGGTCAAAACAGCCACAGCCTAGGCAGCAACATTGATCGACATATACACAGACAAATCAGTGTTGCAAGCATACGAAATCGGGAGAGGGACTTTGTAAAAACTGAGACATGTTAGTGTAAATATTTGTTGGGACTCAGGACACGGAGCTTGAAAGCGGGACAGTCCAGGTTAATGCAAGACATATGGTCCCTACCCTGAGTTGTTTCCTCGCAAGAGTAAGATGAGAATATCAGTAGGACACTCTTTTTTTTCTGAACGCTTGACAAGTTAGAGAAGGAGACTCTTAGCTCAGCCGAGCTTAGAGTAAAGAATTGAAACCACGAAATTGAACGCTTTCTCTTCATATGCAAAAAGAACTATAATCAACCTTCAAGTACCTCAAAACCTGACAACCTTAACACTTGTGGTTAATTTATACATAAACTGTGATACATGTTGTTGCCATGCCAAGTGATTGAGAAAAAAACAAGATTAACTTTGGATATAACAAGCTAGCTGCCCCCCTGATACCTGTCGTTGTGCTAAGCTAAGCTAAGGTTTTCAACGTAGCATGCTTTTTTGACGAGACTTAAGAACGGTTTCAGCCTCGTCATTCACTTTCAGCAAGAAAACAAATACCTCTTATTTGATTCTATACCTGTATGTTTACCTCGGGGATGTAGGGATGTTTATTAATGCTTTAGGATACAGCTAAAGAGACCTTTTCAAAAACAAGCAGCTAGCTGAAATACATTTTAAAAAGACTTCCAACCCAGTTAAGTCTGATGCTTGCAAAGAGTTCAACTTTGTACACAACAACGGAGCCAGTCTGCTAGTTGTCAGGCAGGTTTGACAGAACACGCCTCTAAATGGAGCAGAAAGGCTTTTACTGCAAATCTGTTCAGTGTGAGGGGCTTTGATGCCTGCTAACACCTTGATGCACTGAGCTCTACTTTCCCAGTACAACAGCTGCTACAGACTCAACAGCTCTGTTTAGATTTAATAGGAGACTCCTCACACTGTGTGCTCAGATGCCTGGCAACATCCCTGCAGAGGTAAACACTGTGCATTCGTGATAGCTGTTTAACTACACTTCCCATGAGTGCAGACAGACAACATGCATCAGTGGAAATGTGTCAGTAGCACTTCAGAGAGCAGTCGGCACTTCCAAAGCTGCACATTGAGACATGAACAGTCACTAAAGGTGTTGAATTTAGGTACTTCAGACTACATTGCAACTGCATGGCATTCGTCTGAACTGCTTTGAATGTGTAAGGTATCATAGGGTGGTACAAACAACACAATGATGCACTAGTGAACACACACACAATAATGACAGTTATAGGTGTATGAAGTTTCCTCTCGAAGGAATTTACAGTCTGTCAAAGTTGTGGATCTGGATGTGAAGATTCTTACGGCTCCAAGCTTCACAGGGAAGCGTACACACCCACACACATACACATACACACAGTTGTCAGAGCTGTAAACAGTCTTGAGCACGCTTCCTCCTGACTGCTGTCTTCATAAGGAAAGCTGTTTGAACACACCCGCATGGCCAGTAGTAATGCTCTGTCAAACACTATCCTCAGCATCACAAGTAAATGGCTGGCACTCTCTCTTTTTCTCGCACACACACACACACACACACGCACACACACACTTGCACTTACAAATTGTATGTAAACGCACCAGCATCCATACACAGATGCATCAACAGATCTACCCCCAAACCAGCACAAATCTTTGGCTCCAGCGGGTACATTTGCAGCCAGAATCTTGCTAATACCCCCAGCTTTCCATCCATCTATATAATACAATCTGTGGTTTAATGATTTCTCATCCTCCCTCGCTCTTTCTCTCACTTCTTCCAACCTCGCAGCAGGCCTCCACACAGACAGAAATCCACACAAAGCAAAAGAAAACCGACGATGACTAATTGTCTGCTTTATAGCTGCGCAAGTGTGAAACATGGCTGTATAGGCTACGTGTACGTCTGTCTACACTCAGACACCACACATTAGAAAGTGAGTGTGTAACTGTTGGTAGAGTGAGTGTATTTGCAGGCTATCAAGTTTTCCTGTATCAGACTTTTTTTTCCTGGGGTAAGCAACAAATGAGAGCGCAAGACAGACAGTTATCTTCTCCCTGAGGACAGGAGAGAGAAAAATACAGGAGCTGCTCTCAACTTCAAATCTGCTCTTTCTCTCACTCACTCACCCCCCTTCTCTTCTCCTCCTCTTCTTTTGGTGTCATTTTTCCTGCAGAGAAGTAAAGCTGTGTAGCCTGAAGCTGCAGGCAGGCACGGCCACACGAAATGTACATTATTAGTAAAAATGACATTTTGAAAACCAGTTGGTGAAGCTGGTTAGACAGGTAGCTCTTTCTATGTAAGTACACTATGATTGCGAAAGGTATATATTTTTTCCCTCTCAAGTTGTGTGGCCTGGACAGCAGAAGTTTGAAAAATTCGACATGATGGTTTTACATACTGCAACTACACCCTAATTTCTTTGGGGCAAGATTTCACAAGAGCACATAGAGCTAAATGACAGGTATCGCTGGGTTGTAAATTCTAAACATGCACCCACATGCATGCTAGAGTTCAGCACACTTTAAATGACATTGTGCAATATTTAAAGACTGGAATATGCGCTGATTTGTGTGTTCCTGTTTACATTCTTCACCCCATTTGTCTTCTCAAATGAGTTTAGCATGGTAATTTAACAGTCAATAACATTAAGGAAGATCTAAAATCCCAATTCTTCGGATGTCTCATTACATCCCTTCCTTTATAAGCCTCCTTACTTGTCTCTCTCGCTATGCCTGGTTAGGGTAATGCATTCATTTCCTGTAGGGGGGATTTGTGAGTAATTATGCACAAAGACATCCTCTCACTAATTAGGATGTAAAGACAGGGAGTTCAAGTAATCTGGGCATTGCACTAAGAGTAGGAAACACACAGTCCTTAAGGCACTTCACTGTGTGTATAGGTGCGCCTGGTGTGGGTGTGTGTGTGTGAGAGAGTGAGTGTGTGAGAACTAATTTGAGAGTGCAGACCCTGTTCAGAGTGCGCGTGTGTTCACCTTCTTTATTCCTGCATGATTAAAAACAGCACTTAGCAATATCGTTTCTTCTTTTAACCTTTACATTTGGGTCATTTACTTTGGTACAAGCAGCGTGCATCTCTAGCTGTGTGCATATGTATGTGACACAGAAAAAACTCCCAACTCTGCTATCAGAGAAATGCAAAAATCTCTATTTCTGCAATAGACTGTTGCCTGAGAGGCATGCTTGTGTGCACCCACCTAAATGTGTCAACGCGCGCACACCATTAATCGAAGATACCACTCTTTAACTATGCTGTGAGCAGCAAAGGAAGCCACTGCTACCATAGGAACAGAATTTAGCCTCTGTGTGTCTCTCTCTCTCCGTCTCCCTCCCTAGTGCAGCTTTAATTTGCCGAGCTCTTCTATATCCAGGAAATACAATGACTAGCCTTCGCCTTTGTTGTCTAACAGGGATTTTGACTATGCAGAGACAAGTCTGGGGAACAGGCGCGCACAGCCCAGACATGCTTTTGCAGCCGTTGTTTTCTTTCCTTTGTTCCCGATTTATTCTTTGTAATCCCGTCTTTCCTCTCCTTTCCCTGAGCCTGCCTCTTTCCCCTGTCCTTGCTCAGTCAAATACACACAGTTTACTACTTATTTATTTATTTCCTCTCCCTCCAATGCTCTCTTCTCTTCTATCTCCCTCCTTTTTTCTCCCCAGTCTTAGGGAGTCGTATCAAGCGGCCTGCCAGATAATTAGATGGGACATTTGTTTGAAAACACATTTACAGAGGGATATTATCCTCCCTCACAGACATAATTTTAATCAGACATGACAACAGAATGTTTTTTAGGAGTTGGCAGATAGACACAAAGAGGAAAACGGATAGGAAGAAGGGAAGAAAAGGAGAGAGAATCTGGAGGCAACAGAATTTGGAGCTAGTTAAACTATTCTGTTGTGGCACTGTTTTGCTGGAATCCCTCAGTGCATGGCTGATAAAGCAAATCTGTGTCACCGTTATCTTCCACCCTCCTACTGCTGACAATTTCATAGAGCATAGATGATTTTTGTGCGTGTATAAACTAGAGCACAGATGATGGCAAGAAACCAACTCATTAAGTATTGCTGTAAGATAAAAATCTGGAACGCTAAAACTTGACTTCTGTGTCTTTGTATGACAGACCAACTTTATTTCCCAGAAAATATCTATTAGGTGAAAGCCTCCTTCACTGTAAATGTTTTTTTCCTCTCATAACAATAAGAGGAATTGATGTCATTATTGGATATCAGGGCTGCTCAAATAATGTAGAGCATCTGATCACCGTCATTCTCATTGGCTATGACACTTTTCTTAAGGTTGGCTCTCTCTAGACTGATAGCTGATAGAAATCCCCAAGCCCCCTTTTTAAACAGTTATATTAATTTCTCTCGTGAACCATTCTTAGGAGCATGTGTTTAATTAAAACTCATTATTATAAAAATAACATAAATATTTTACAGTTCAGTTAAACAGTTGTTAAAAAAATCACTTATACAAACTGTAAATGAGTTAAATCTGTTTGACTGTCAACTACTGAAGAAAAATGCTAAAGAGGTGATTAAGTGTATTTTCATCTGAAGCACTCTCAAGGTTATTTTACTGTCTGAACCTGAATCTATTCTGCTGATACATTCTTTTTCCGGATTACCAGAAAAAGTCTTAGTGGACAGAGTTGTCAGAGGATTTGTACCCCGGATGTAGACTTATTGTTTATTTCTCCCCAACCCCATTACATTCATTTCTAATTTCAACAGTGGTTTGACAAACTAGTGTACATTCACCTGGGAGCAAACATGTCAGCTGCTGCTCAGCTGATATCGCGCATAAACTGGACTCTGCCAAGACGCACCCAACTTTATCCATAACAGTGACTATCTATCCATGTACAAACCTTGTTTCAGGCGCCTGGAGTGTGAGGAGGGGACAGTAAAAATTACAGATTGGCAACGCATGAACCTTCTGTGTGGATTCCGTCACTAACTAAAACACTGTTGATACCCAAATAATAAACCCTGGGTCCCAAAAGAAGTTAAATCAGTCATCAATAAAAATAAAAGGACCATTTCACTCTGCAGACCCCTGGAGATAACAGCTGTCTCCAGGGAAGTTAGGGTTAAAACAGGGAAGGCAAAACTAAAGTATACTAATACAATTGAAATTCAGGTTAGTGGTAACGACCTCAGAGCAGCCTGGAGAGGAATAACATCCATGGCATTAATTAATCAGTCCACCTGTGAGACTAAGCCTCTCATCTGTGTAGATGATGCTGACTTGGCAGATATTTAAATTGTTATCTTACCGGGAAAGGTCTGATTTCTTGAGTGATATTTCCATGCTGAGGGAATCTCTTGTTCTTCTGAAGTGATTAAATGATCTCTCAGGAAACAGTCACAGCTCTATTTGAGAGCGTTAATGTAGGGAAAGATGCTAGCCCTGACCTGATCTGTGGACCCCAACTGTGTTACTGTTCTGAACAGCTTAGTGACGTGTTCACTTAACTTTTTCAGATGTGTGCTGAATCTGGCCGGGAAACAACTCCCCCCCCCATTTTGAAAACATTCACAATAATTCCTGTGCGTAAGTCAAATAAACAAAGAGATTTGAAAATTTCAGCTGCTTACACATAACGTGCAAGGAAAAAATTTGTGAACCTTTTAAAAGAAAACGTTGTCTCCTTAATCAAAGGTCAACTTGATCAACTATAGTTTTTCTTTCAAGCTGCAAAAGGTGTGAACAACAGAAAGCTTTTCATTTTAGACGTGTATAAGCCCCTTGAAAATGAAATCTCATGCAAGACCCTAATTTTCATGAGTCTCCTCTAATTTCAAGTTGCCTGGTCAGATTTCATGTTTCTTATAACCTTTATTAACAGATAGAATTCGGCACGTTTTTGTAAATGGTCACCAGTCCAAGGTTCTACTGTCCAACACTGGTTCTCCTCAGGGCTGCGTCCTTAGCCCCCTGTTTTTTCTCATGTACTCAGAGCACTGTAGAACTTCACAAGATGGCAGCTATTTGGTTTAGTTATCTGATGACACTGCACTGCTTTCACTTCTTCAGGGCTCTGAGTCAGGCCATTGTGGAGCTTTAGTAGTTTTTTTTTAAATGGCAACTGCCTGGATCTTAAAGGTATGAAAAAAAGGCATTCATCATTGATTTCAGGAAGAACTGTTGTAAAACTGAATCCAGCATTATCAGTGGTGAAAATGTTTAAATAGTTGACACAAACAAAGATGTTAAAACAGTGTGCGATTCTGAACTGAGGATTGTTAAAAACACAGATATAAGAGTTAAAAATGGTCAACAGAGAATTATTTTAGTGTCTCTTTAAGGGCATTTTGAGAAGCCTTTATTATTCCTTTTATTGAAATTCTTTTAACATGTTCTTTTATCTGTTGGTTTAATGGGTTAACTGTGAAGGACAATAACAGTCTGAACCATATGGTAAAGGTCTGCTCCAAGATCTTTGTAGTCCAGCTAAAAGTCTTCCTGTGGAAGGAACGTGTGGTCCAGAAAGCCAAAATGATAATAAATCAACCTCGACACATTCTTTCACCTGCCTGTTTTTTTACTGCCCTCTGGACGCAATATCTTGCCCCTCCAAGGAAAAAACACAGAAACTCTAACTCTTTTATTCCTTCAGGTATCAGGATGTTGAATGCTGAACAGCTGTAACTGCTTTATGGCCAGTCCCTGTACACTTAGGGAGGATTTATTAAAGTATGAATCTATTTATTAAATACATTTCTGGCATTGTATTTTTTTTCTTTAATGTTTTTTGGACCTGGCTTCTCATTTGATGACCTGCTGTTGTTACTGGCATGAAAATGTAATTGTCTGGATGCTTCTGTGACTGGGTTTGTTTCCTTCATATTGTCTTGATTTCTTTTATTAAGCCTTGGTAGACTGTGAAACTGAATTGCCTCTCTGAGATATATAAAGTTGTCTGAATCTGAAGAACATGTGGATGAAGGGGTAGAGATTTGCTAGATTTGTTTGTTGTGTCTACATGTCAGACAGGCAGGGTGTCAGCTGAGGCTTTACGTTGAGCTCAGGGTGAATCCTGTGGAGGCTCACAGCTGAATCTCCTATACCTATAGCTGTATACAGTCTCTGACTTAAAGCAAAGCTTGATATTTGTTTGTGTCAGGGAGTATGTGAGAAGAAAGAGTATCTTCAGGATACACTTAGAGTGTTATTGACTGACTATTGTACATGGCTATATGAATAGATATGTGTGTCTGTATGAAATAGCCGGTATGAGAATGTGTGTTTAGTGCAGAGATTTTTATACTTCAGAAGTTTCATATAAGGTGACTTATTGTGAATGTATTTTATATTGATGTTTTTGTTGTTGCATACCTTACCCTACAAAGAATCATTGGTACCTATATTTATTTTTCTTACCACTACAACTTGAACCTGCAGTTTCATTTCACACCAGCAGGGGGCAACCTTTTATTACAGATTTTACACTCAGCTCTTCTGAGGTCTTCAGTCGGCTTCGAGGATTCAGCAGGCTTGAACTTAGAAACAAGGCTCAAGCATTTCCTTTTAGCTCTGACACTGGTCACTCCTAGTTTGATAAATTAGGATATTACTTGGAATATTTCAATTTATACTTTTTCTTATTTTGTATCAAAATATATCTTAAAATAAAAAAAAAAACATTTATATATAATATTGTTAAAATAAATTATAGTCAGCATTAAAGCACAAAAAACATTTATAGTTTCCCTCCATGGATGCCTGTGGCAAACAGTTTCACAGACATTGACACGTGTTATCAGACTTTTTTCAGTGAGAATAATAGTGATGTATCGTTTTTTTGTTTCATTTAGAGGGATAAAAAGCACATGAGAAGGAATTACAGAGACATGCTAACACAAAGAGATGACAGACAGGAATGTAGGGTAACAAGAAGGCAGTGAAAAGTGTCATAAAAACGGAGAAAACAACTCCACTGGGAAAAGAAAACTTAAGAAAGAAAAACACAAAGAAGAGGCTGCTAGAAAAACTTACTGTAGGTTGCATAACATACTGTTGATGTGGCATCCAAGATGTACTCTGGACCTGTGCGAGAGGAGAGAAGATGAAGAAGAGATCATTAAGAAAAGGTGGAGGTGACAAAGATGCGATCAGAGATGATGAAGAAACAGAAAAAAAGAAAGATGGGAAATAGGAAGAATGGAAGGAGGAGAAAGTAATTAAAAGAGGAGGGGGTGGGCATGAGTAGGTGGATGCAAAGAGGAGGTCAGGGAGAGATGAGAGGAAGGGGAAGATCAAAAAGAAGATTGTTATAAGTGGATAAAGAATTGAGGGAGAGGGAACATAAAGAAGGACAATTGGAAGACAGAATGACAGGAAGGGAGCAAAAATGAGAAAACCAGGGAGAAAATTAATCATTAGCTCGAGTCTTTATGAAGTGTCTGATGTAATCAGGACAGAGGTAATATAAGTTTACAATGGGCGCATCAGGAGTATCTGAAGGAGATTTAGGAGCCCTCTCAGTGGAATGTATACAATGGGGCCCCTGTATCCAGAGAGTTGCCCAGGGACTTCTGGACAAGAGATTGTATCTGTGACCTGTGTTGTCCTTTGAGTTTATGACATACATATGACATACATATGACTAAGACAGAAACCCCTGCAGTTGTATGAAGAGGGGTGTCCTGAAAACAAACAGATGTCCCTATGTTGTTCTCCTGTGAGGTGTGTCCATAAATACCAGAGTTTCTGTGTGTAAGGGGAGAGATCACTTTTGGCTGTGTCTCTCCCAGGTCGAACCATGGCGAGCCTGGCGATGCTGTAACTTGTTTGTCAATAAAATGATCATTATGTAAGCAAGTCAGTGTCAACGGAGAATTTCTTCATCATCAAACATGTCAACAACAAGGAAATCCACATCAATTTTGGCGTCACGGAACAGGATCAGTTGGGGCCTTCTGCAGGGGACCACAGCTTGTTTATTATTTCCATCACTTCGTAAGTGTTTCTTTCTTTTTTTTTCTGCATATATTGCGGAGCTGTTTCTGTCGTCTATCGGCAATTTTGGCCGCACTGTCAAAGAACTGAAGTGCAATGATGTGTTGATGTTGGAGTAATTCTCTGTCTAAATTGGGGTTTATTGAGTTAAAAAGTATATAGATAAAGGGGAATAAAATAAAGAAGAGATAAATAAGAGAAGAAGAGATGAATAAAGTTGAAAGGTAATGATAGCATAAGCGCAACTAGTAACGAGACCAGTTAGCTAAAAAACTATGCAAGTTTAACAAGGACAGGGCCCGTATCCTCTTAACAGTAAGTCATGTGTAAATTAGACACTGAAGTGAAAGTTGGCTTTAAGAAGTAGTCAAATTTGAGTAAAAATAAAACAAAGGGGATCCCTGGCCAGGGTATTTGAATAGATGATAAACGTATAATGTAGGAAATAAAGAGAAGAAATAAAAGAGAAATAAAGATGAGAAGTGTAAAGATGAGAAGTAAAAAGATGAAAAGTGAAGATAAGGAATAAAGATAAGAGTTTTGAGAAAAGTGGGAAAAAAGCGCTAAGTAAAGGAAAAAGTGTGCATTGAAGCATGCAGTGTGAAGTAATTTGTTAAAAGACAATTTGTTAAAAGTTTGGCCAAAGTAAAAATTTGATAGAGGAAAATTATAAATGAGTCGACTTCAAAATCTGAACTGAAATATGTGTGCACTCGCTGAGGCGCAGCTGTTCTTGAAATGTGTGTGCGCACAAGCTCTGTACAGCCTGAAGTGTTTGTGTGTGTGTGGCTGTCTCTGTCTCTGTCTCTGTCTGTGTCTTGTCTCTTGTGTTGTGATTTGGATGGGTTTGAGAGGTCTGTGTGGTGTGAAGATGTGTATTTGATCCGGAAATGTTCTTGTATATGTGTGATTGATAAATAGAATAGATGTATTATTAAATAGGCATATGTAGCAGGTGATTGGTTAAAAGGCGATTTAGTAACTTATAAGAGGGGACATTTTTGCTTCATCAGTGTTAAAAACATATGAGCCCTTTGTCTAAGGGGACGTTTATATATCCGATTTGATAAAAAATATGAGCCTTTGTTTCAGAGGACTTTTACTTATCTGATCTTCATCAGTGATAAAAATCTATGAGCCCCTCAGAGGATGTTTGTTTAATCTGATAAATACACATGAGCCTAATAAAGGACGTTTATACATAGCATAAGTGTATATAGTATCTGTTTTTAAGAAGTGGAGAGACCAGCGAGGATAGTCTGTACCCATTCAGGTAGCAAGTTTCGAGAAAAGAACAGAAAAATTCCTGATAAAGTTTAGAACTGCCGGCTGATTGGAGTGTGAACTTCTCTTTCTGTCTGTTGGAGCGTATGTGTGTGATCACATTATGCTGTGGATTTTGTCTGTTCAAAAGAACATATAGTTTGGTTTAAAATAGGTGAAGATGTCTAGAAACCAGATTCAAAACGGTTCTTTGTGATGCCGTTATATTGAAAAACTGCAAAGGGGACTTCTGCTACATTGTAAAGTTATGGGAGTAAATACATACAGCTAAAATAACAACCAAGAGGAGAAAATGTTACACTTATGTTGTTTTGTGAGGTGGATTTATCTTAAAAACCTCTGTTTGAGTGACTTACTCTCTTTTAGAAGGATGCTACATGCAGCATGTTTCCATGTGTGAGCTCTGAGCTCTGACTCAGTGATGAGTGACAGGAGGATTAAATGCAAATGTAACCTTACTGTGCTTCAACTGTAATCAAATAGCTATGATTGGCTTAGTTGTCACTTAATAAATCTTACTTGAGTGATAAGTTTTCTTTTAATGACTCCACTAGTAAAAAGTGTACATTTTAGTGAAAGTAGGGGTGCCACAGCACCCACGGGTGAGATGTGCCTGTCTGTGCATTAAATGCACTAGGTTTGGACCATGGGGTTTGGAGACAATGTTAACCCTTTGACAGCCAGGTTAGACTGGAAGCCCTTGCTGAAATTAGGAGGGGGTCCAAGAGGTGTTGCCTCACATAGAAAGCCAATTAGATTACTCCTTTTGAAGAGGAGTGGAGAGAGAGCCCTTCCTCCTCTCTCTTCTCTCTGTGGGACACAGAGGGAAGGAAAACACACCCCCAGTAGGGAGACAGCCTTTGCAATAGATTAAAAAAAATAATAATAAAGATTAGAGATAATGTGTGCATATTTCACTGAATTGTTATTGCATTGTGTATATGAATTCAGAGTGACCCTTAGACACTCAACTTTTGTTTTGTTTCTTTTTTGTCTTCTCTGTTTTTACTATGTTGTGTGAGAACTGGAGGAGATGGATTGTGTCTGAACTGGATCAGTCAAAAAGGCAGATGAGGAGAGATCTGGCAGTACTTCACAAACACTGGAAGCTTGCGGATGACAGCATGTAGGGATCCTGAATCCAGCTTGATCAAGGCCAGTGCGGTTTTATCCACAAACTCTTTCAACAAACACCTGAACTTTTTTATCTGTGTATACACATTTTTTATAGTCAACATCTTTGATATACACATTTTTTATAGTCAACATCTTTGATACATGCTTAGTCTGTTTTCGCATAGAGGCTTACATTGTTTCTTCTATGTATCACATTACAATTATATAGGAGGAATTCTTGGCAACAGACTGACTAATTGAAGCATTTGGTCAATAATGGAGTATTTTTGATTTGATTGATCATTTATGGAAAAGTTGATTTGATTCAAATGCAGTTGAGTGCTGTGAATGCTGGTTTCATTGTTTGAGTATGGTCTAGCTTGACCTGGGCTATTTTGAGATGGAACATTGACATTATTTCCATAATTTTAAGATAAATAAGTGTGATTAGATGCATTAGGTGGTAAAGAAGTGCTTTTGCTTTCATAGTAAGAAGGCTTTGGTCTCCTTTGGGGTTGGCAAATTCATTCACTTTCAAGTGTGGTAACAGTACTTTCTAAATAGTTTGACTAAATAGTTTGACTTACAATACGAGGAACTAAGAGGGTCATTGTAATGTCAAAGATGGACACCAAAATTACAAAATCAATCACTTCTGTTGATGTAGTACAGAAGACTAATCCTCTTGTTAAAGATATTCCAAAAATATCAGAAAAATGGAGTAAGCGTTGGCCTGACATTGACCAGCCTTGGCCAGTAGAGGGGACTTTGAACCCGGATGTGATTAAAACAATACAGGTGCTTGTGTCTATATACAAGGTAAAGCAGAAAAAGGGGAAATAGACGTATGGAGAAAAGACAAACTGAACTTGGCATTCTGCAGTTGTTTGAAAATGAGGGACAGAAATTGTTAGAAGCTGCAAGAGAAAAAAGGAACAGAAGTATGCAAGCAATAAAGAAAAATGATAAGGAAGCAGGAAAGTTAATGGAGAAGGTTAACACACCCTTCTCACATACTGCCTTAGTAAAGAAGCGCCCGCCTTATGAGAAGGAAGTGAAGTTTACTGATGTTTATCCTCAGCTCCCAGTGATTAGACAGGAGGGCAACTATCACGTCACAGATGAGAGTGATAGTGATGGAGACTCAGAGAGAGAAGGTCCTACATATCTTCACCAGCTAGCAGCCGATGCAGGGGTGGAAGATGATGGATGCAGGATTTTAAGAGAGATTGAGAGGTCTATAAATAGATGCCTTGTGAACATAAGTGAATCTACCAGTCCAGAAGAAACAGGACCAGGAGACTCTTAGAAAACTTAACCAACTACAGCTGGTTGATAATAAGAAGGAGATGAAACAAGCTGTGGTTATGCAAAGTCAGCATCAACCAAATCAATTACCACCACAGCCGCAGCATGACCAGATCTAGTTTCAGCTATCTCAGCTGTTATCCATGATCCCCACTGCACCTTTTCCACAGTCAGTTTTTGACCAACCACAGATAGGAAGTTTAGAAAGAGGCAGAGGAGGAAATTTCCAACAGTCTTCAGGAGTGTGTCATAATTGTGGACAGCTAAGCCACTTTGCTTGTGGATGTTACAGAACAGAGGAGATTTCAGAGGAGTATAGATGGATGTTGAGGTTGGAGAGGACTTTTCTGTTGTTTACAGGAAAGGTCAAGGAGTTAGAT